GCATCAGGTGGCCAAAGTATTGGAGTTTCAGCTTCAGCATCAGTCCTTCCAATGACTATTCAGGATTGATCTCCTTTAGGATGGGCTGGTTAGATCTCCTTGCAGTCCAAGGGACTCTCAAGAGTCTTCTCCAACACCACAGTCCAAAAGCATCAATTCTTTGGTGCTCAGATTTCTTCACAGTCCAACTCTCACATCCATACATGACCACTGGAAAAACCATAGCCTTGACTAGATGGACCTTTGTTGGCAAAGTAATGTCTCTGCTTTTTAATATGCTGTTTAGGTTGTGTACTGTTGTATACCTCTCATTATTTAACTTAAGAAGCCCACTCCCCCCCCAAAAAAGAAGCCTAAATAGACGGGAAAGGGGAGAGAGAGAATCCCTGACAGAATACTCCACTGAGCCTGCCTGTAGCACCCTTAATCACTGTCTTCATCCAATGCCCTCCTACAGCAGGTTCTGCAACCTGGAGGCAGGATCTGCTCCCATGGGAGCTTCCTGACTCAGAGCCGGGACCGGCTACAGAGAAGCTGGGTGGCAGAGACACGAGGGCCCTACTAGAAATGATGACTCAGGATGAAGTCAACTGACCCGATTAATTTCAGCTTTTCTTTAGTTGGTGCTAAAAATATCTTGGAAAAATAAAATCTGTGGGCTCACCAGCAGCAGTTTCATTCTTGGAGGAGAGGACACAACAGCAGACTGGATGAGAAAGCTGCTGCTCTGAGAAGAAAGCCACAAGCCCCCTAGGGGGCACCTCGGCGCCCCGGGAGGGTCCCCGAGCAGGCTCGGGCGGCCCGTCAGAGGAGACAGATTCGGACCTCCTGATGCCGCCTGTGAGCTGGGCTACTCCCCGGCGCTCTGGGAGCCCCCCCATCTGACTGAGATGGGGTGTGAAGATGCAGCCATGTGCAATGAGGAAAGGTCCCCGGGCCAGAACACCGTAGCTGCGTCCTGGTTCCACCACCTACCGGCTGTGTGTCCTCGAGCAAGTGACTCAGCCTCTCTGTGCCTTAGTGTTCTCAACTGTAAACTGGGGACCACAGCTGCCACCTCGCTGGGTTGTTGTGAGGGTTACACAGACGAATTTGTAAACGAACAGTGAACAGGGCCGAGGGGAGGTCATAGAGTAAGAATGTAAGCGAAGGGACCGTGCTGGAGATGGGGCGGACGCAGTCCTTGGGGTGGGGGCCTGGCCAGTGTGCGGACCCACAGGCCCGCCAGTGGGCCGGCTGAGGCCTCCTCACGCTTTGGGGCTCCTGTCGGCTGAGGCCGAGTCCGGAGCGCTGCAGACAGCCCGAGGCCCGAGTGAGGGGCAGCTCCGGAGCGGGGCAGGGGGAAGGACGTCCAGTCCCCAGGCCGCCCCGCCCTGGTTCTCACGCCGTGTGGGGGGAGCTCTGCTGCCCATGGAGGGCGTGGGGGCCCCAGACACCCCCAGCGCTGCTCAGACCACAGGACTGAAGCCCGCTGGGAACTGCAGAAGCTGGGGGTCGCCGGCCCCAGGAGGAAGGGCATGTACTGACTCACCACTTTGGGCTTGAAGGGCGGCTGGATCTCACGGTTCTCCAGCTTCTCCCAGTCGATCCTCCGGAAGAAGGCGTGCTCCCGCACATCCCGCTCGCCCTCGGGCCCACAGCCCAGCCGCTTCCCCGGGTGCTTGGTCATCAGCTAGGGATGGGGGAGAAAGAGGCGCTCACGTGGGACAGGGCAACGCGGGGGCTGCCATGGGCAGCCCCGGACTGTGTACCGAAACCCGCTGACAACCAACAAAATAAAAAAAGTGACGTGAGGTGACGGATGAGCGAAGTCAGCTGTGGGAGCCCTTCACACTGCTTGTATAGGTCAGACCATCACACTCAGGCCTTAAACACCTGCCGTTTTGTCTGTCAGTTACAATCAATACAATTGAAAAAAGAGAGGAACAAAAAGATCCACCGGAAAAACGCTGGGGGTGGGTGGGAAGGACGGCCCGACGCCAGCGCCTGCCCTCCTGTGGCTCTGCCCCTGGCCCCTATGGCAGGGACCCCGGGCATTGTCTCAGGAGGCTGAGTGGTGCCAACTCACACACATAATGTGGACATGTGTGGGCCTTTCTAGAGTGACTTTCATGACCAGGAAACGGAGGCAATCTGGACCCACGGCCAAACGAGACTTGAGCAGCGTCTGTATAGACTGTTTTAAGAGCTGCCACTCTGCATGTACATTAAAGGCAGGCAAGGGCTCCCCTGGTGGTCCAGTGGCTAAGACTCCGTGCTCCCAATGAGGGGGGCATGGGCTTGACCCCTGGTCAGGGAACTAGATCCCACAAACTGCAACAAAGATCGAGGAGCCCGTCTGCCACAACTAAGACCCGGCACAGCCAAATAACTGCAGCTTCTGAAAGGCACACAGTCACTACACATGGTGTGTGCTCAAAGTGTCGCAGGCTAGCATCACACAGCGTGCAGTGTCACGGGCATTACACGCCTGCTTGCTGCCTGGACCAAAGTGCTCTGAACCCAAGACTCGTGGTTTGCAAAAGCAAATGCTGTCCGTCACAAGAAAGGCGCCAGGTTCACCTGAAACCTGGGGGCGTGGGCACATGGCCCCCCCCAGGATGCCTCTGAGACGTGCCAGGAGGCATCTCTGGCCTGTGACTCACCCCTTTGCAGATGGACACGGCCTCCTTGGACAAGGACTTGGGGTATGAGACGTTGTGCTCCATGATGGACTGGAACAGCTCGTCTTCATCCTCGCCATCGAACGGGGGCTGGTGTGGAAAAGGGGGAGGGGGTAACTTAGGCTGAGAGGCGCACCCCTTGAGGCCCGGACATCCCGCTCAGCACCAGGGAACAGCGGCTCCTTGCACACGCGGGCTGCAGGCCTCGCGGGCTGATTACCTTTAATTAGGTTGGTGGTTGAGTGTGTTTTCCATTTTTTCCTCTGTCCTTTTAATTATCTTGCCCGGGGCAACCCCAAAAATTTTTAGGGAAAATGCTTTTGAGTAATGCTTCTAACAGTTTGCAAATAAATTATAATTAATCCATTAACCTGTTCTTAATCTCTTCTGCTTCTGTTAGGTCCTCCTGCTTGTGTTTCTGTCCTTTATTGTGCCCATTTTTGCATGAAATGTTCCCTGGGTATCTCTGATTTTCTTGAAGAGATCTCTAGTCTTTCCCATTCTATTGTTTTCCTCTATTTCTTTGCGTCATTCACTTACATTGGCTTCCTTATCTCTTCTTGGTATTCTTTGGAACTCTGCATTCAGTTGGGTATATCTTTCCCTCTCTCCTTTGTCTTTCAGTTCTCTTTTCTCAGCTATCTGTAAGGCCTGGGAAGGACTGAGGGCAGGAGAAGGAGGGGACAGAGGATGAAAAGGTTGGACGGCATCACTGACTCCATGGACGTGAGTCTGAGTGTTTTGGAGCCACTAGTTGTGGGAATCTTCAAGTCTGAGGCCTCGGGGGCCGGCCCAGGAGGAGCTCTCTGGGGAGGACAACCCAGGAGACCTGGGGATAGAGGGGGGACAGGGCGGCGGAGCGGGGGGCGGGGTGACCTGGCCTTAGGTCTGAGCAGGGACCGTCTGCCCCCGGCCAGCGATGACCAGCCCATCTCTCCTGTAACGCACGCCCTTGGAAACGGGTCCAGACGTTCCACCCCGAGCGGCGCGGCCATCACACACAGTGTGAATCAGTGGAAGCAGCCTTGCTGTCTGGACTCCAGAGTCGGGTCGTTCACTTGGATCAAGGAGGGGGACTCAGCTTACTGTGCCTTCGCGAACAGACGCCTCCTACGGGGCTGACAATTCAGCCACGTTTTACTGTCCGAGTTCGAAAGGGGAAACTAGCTGGATGGAGGCAAACTCGAGCTTTGCCAGCTGCCGTCTCACTGACAATGCTGCTGTGGAATTGGCTTTTCTGTGTTTACAAACTGAGGTATTTAATCTTAAAAGAATGTTTTCTTGAGGGAGAAAACCTAAATGAATAATACACAAACCCCTTTCTTAATACCAAGTCTTAACATCACTGAGAAAAAATGACCCAATATAGGTAGAACCTCTTATCTCTTAATACTTAAGAGGCTGTGGTGGTGTCTCTGAGACGTATGACGCAATCAAAGCAGCAGAGGCCACGGGCTGGGGGTAGGGCCTCCCAGCCCGGCGGGAAACCAGCGGTCTCGTGCTGACCCCAGGCCTGGGGCCAGGCGCCCTGCTCACTCCACTCCAGCCACAGCCCGGCTTCCTGCCGTCTCTCCAGCGTCACCGCACACTCGCGCCCCAGGGCCTGTGCTGGCTGTCTCTCAGCCTGGAATGCTCGTGGACATCTGCACGTGGACATCCTCTCCCTTCCTTGCGGTCCTAACTTCATCTTCTCCGTTAGGTCCTCCCTGGCCACCCTAGCTGACATTTCAACCTTCCCTCCTCCAAGCCTGTATGTTCCTCCCCTCTTCTGACTTTATGCTATTACGGTCAACCAACCACAGATAGAAAGTGAAACAAAAGTCCAAAACATTTTAAAAAGCAAAACTGGGGATTCTCTGGTGATCCAGTGGTTAGGATGTGGTGCTTTCACTGCCAGCACCCGGGTTTGATCCCTTTTGGGAAACTGAGATCCCACAAGCCATGCAGGATGGCCAAAAATAAATGAATACAGAAAAAGGAAAAGTTGAATTTGCCACATACCGGCAAACATGTACAGAGCACTGATACCGTATTCACAACCACACACGGAGCAATCACACTGTGTCGGGTGTACTGTCACAGACATGGTGCACAGTGAACAGAAGGACGTGCCGGCCTGTGCAGACACTGCTCCGTCTGCACCCGGACTCGTGCCTCCCAGGAACCCGGCTGTCTGCGGGGTCCGGGAACCAGTCCCTGCCGACGCCGAGTGGCAAACGCTCCTCATCTACGGTCTCTCTAGACTGCAGGCTTCCTGAAGGTCAGGGTCTGTGTGCTGCTCAGAACCTTCACCAGGCACATTTAATACATCTGCACTGAATGGATAATGAGTGAGTCGATGGAGGTGACTTGTCAGACAGGGTGACTCTTTCCCAAGAACAAAGATTCAGAGACTTCTCTGGGGGCATTTATTTCCCTTCTCTCCTACGAAGCCTCTTAGATACTACGGAGGGCAAGCTCCTTGGCATACCTGGGGGCTGAAGGGAAAGAGAAAGTAACTCAGTCGTGTCTGACTCTTTGTGACCCATGGACTATAGAGTTCATGAAATTCTCCAGGCCAGAATACTGGGTGGGAAGCCTTTCCCTTCTCCAGGGGATCTTCCCAGCCCAGGGATCAATCCCAGGTCTCTCGCATTGCAGGCGGATTCTTTACCAGCTGAGCCACCAGGGAAGCCCCCTTGAGGGCTGCGAGGCCATCAGAAGCTGCCCGGGAAAGAACCATCGGTAAGAACGGCTGAGATGCACCTGGGGCTCCCCAGCCCCACAGCCCCACGCCGAGCTTGCGGCCGGCCCTCTGCCTCTCGGGGGCCATGGACAGCGCAGCACAGGCAGGAGAGATGCATGCGGGCTCCAGACTGGCCCCTCGACACTCTGCCCCCCTCTCTCCACTGGCCAGTTGAGGAAGGAGGACGCAGCAGTGGAACCCGAGGCCCTAAAGACGGTGGAGCCACAGCCAGGAGCAGCACGGTCCGTGGATGACCGCGGGCTGAGCTCCCCTCCCACAGGCCTGCCCCGAGACCCTGGGACGGACGTGCCCCCGGTGCTGCTAACCCACTGCGACTTGGGGGGTCGTCTGCCAATGGTGGCTCACGTCACGGCTAGTGACATGGACAGGAAGCTGCACCTTAGAAAGAAGGACTTGGGCAGCGGTGCCCTTGGTGATCTGACCTGGGTCACACGGCCGAGAGGAGCCTAAGCTTCCTTTTGTCAACTGGAGGTTCAGCCTCGCTGACTTCTGTGAAAATTACAATGAATTGACAAGGGAGAGATAAGAGCGGACGGAGAAGCTGTTAAAACACCTCTTCAGGTTTAACGAACATCTTCCTTCGACAATAACTCTGTCTCCACACACGCAGCAGCAGGTGGTTTCTGAGAGAAACAAGCTGTGACCCTCACCCCGGCCCCGGGCTGAGACATGGAAACGCAACAGGCCGCTGCCTTCCCCAACGTGCGGGGGCTTCAGTGGGTGACAAGAAAGCTGCTCTGTCTGCACCCCAAGTCAACTGGGGTTTTATGATCAGAAGATGATGTTGGCACCATTGCTCCCGCCCTCGCCAGGATCAAGGAAGTCCAACCGGAATCGGCCGCGTCCCACGACCTCGGCCCGACAGACCAGCAGCCGTCATGTCACGCGGCCACACACGAGCCCGAGATGCGGTGAAACTCACCTGCCCGGCCAACATCTCGTACAACAGGACGCCATAGGCCCACCAGTCCACGGACTTCCCATACGGCTGATAGGCGATTATCTGTGAGAAGGCAAACACATCGACTGCGCTTAGTGACCGAACAGGGAAGGCAAGCACGCAGGCGTTTACACTCTGTTCTCCACACGAGGTGGCGATGACGCTTGTTGTTGGGTGTGAAGGGATCCTTCGGATCAGACACGCAGAGAGCTTTTGTCCCACGAGAGCTCCGGACTCCCCTGGACTCCTCTTCCGAACCCACCTGGAGACAGACTGTGTTACAGAATTTTGCTGAAAATAATAAAGATGATGGTGACAAGGAGGAGGCGGAGGGAAGATAAAGGGAAAATTCCAGTTTCCTTGTGCTGCACAACAGGCCTGAGGGATCTGCTGAAGGACGGACGTTTGGAAATGTTTTGAAAAGAGACGCAAAATATAATCAAATGTACGAGCTGGACCTTGTCTGAATCTTGATTCAAACCAAATGTTAAAAAAAAAAATTAGTAAGAAATACAGCCTTGAGGATGGATGATGTGAGGGGATTGTTGCTAACACTGTTCCCTGGGATACAAAGTCTGAGGGTTAGTTACAGTGTCCTTCAGTTAGAAGTGAGTGTATGCATGGCCCACGTGCCTCAGAGATGTGTCTGTGGGTGTAACATGACACGTGACATCTTAGATTTGGTTTAAATATTTTAGTAAAATGAAAGGACTGCCTGCAGCTGGCGATGCCCGGAGACCCTGTCCCCTGCTCACCCTCCACCCTCCGGAGACTCTTAGACGTGCAGGCGGCTCTAGGCCCCCTGCCCCACCCTGGGAAAGGGGGTAGTACTGACTCAGATTTCTTTTTTCTTTTTTACTGACTCAGATTTCTAAGAGACACTGCTTCGCAGGTAGGCTGTGGGCCTGAACACACACGTTGCTGACCGTGGTCAGGCCCCAGGACTTGGGTGCAAGGTTTCGACAGGTGCTCAGTACAACCACCTGCTGTTCTGCAGACAAACTGGGCTCTGGGGTGTCCTAGCGGACTCTGAGATGTCCTAGCGGACTCTGAGATGCCCTAGAGGACTCCAGGGTGCCCTAGCAGACTCCAGGGTGCCCTAGGCCATGTTCCCCCTACATCTAAGCAGATGTCCTGGGACATCAGCTAACTTCCTTCATGTCTACCCACCCTGTTCCTTTAATGTGTTACTATTTCTCGCCGGGGCATGAGAAGGATGCATCCCTGCCTCCGGTGGGTGGGAACAGGGGGCGCATGTTTGAATGTGGAAGCTTTACAGCTTGTTTCCTTGGCAAGACAAGGAGAGCCAGAGGGACCTGCAGAGAGGCCTTAGTGTCTCTTGAAGACTGCTCTTGCTTGAAAACTTAGAAGTACAAACATGAAAAGCACAAAAAACCCTACCAAAATGTGTCCCTAGTTTATATCCTAATGACCTGAAGTGCTGGAGTCCTACCAGTTCCCAATGGCCTGACCTGAGCGAGTGGAGGAACCACAGACCCTGTCTGGGAAAGGAAGGCCCGCTCGCCCAGCCCCTGCAGTGTCAGAGACAGTGCGCACCGTGTGTGGTCCCGGGAGCCAGGAACGGCTGCTATGCTCAGATTTTAGGGGACAGAACTGAGATGCATGACACCTATGAAACGTGCCTGAAACCAAACAGACAGTAAGTGGTGCTTTGAATATTGACATATTTGTTTTAAAACTACAGTTTATGGCTTTCAAATACATGGAGCCACTCACACTGGGATTAATAAAATATGAATCAAAGGCCTCTGAAGATTAGTTTAACGAGATTCAAAATCATCATTCCAGCTGTCGTAACTGTATTTCAAAAGCCCTTGAGTAAAATTTGTTCTTGTAACTATATTAAAGCAAGGCCCTGCAATCTGTGCTCATTAATCAGTGTTTTAGTGTTTTTTTAAAAAGAATTTTTAATAGAAGGGTAGTTGATTTACAATATTGTGTTAGCTTCAGCTATACGGCAAAGTTATTCTGTTATATACACATGCACGCGTTTGTGCTCAGTCACTTCAGTTGTGTCCGGCTCTTCTGTGACCCCATGGACTGTAGCCCGCCAGGCTCCTCTGTCCACGAGATTCTCCAGGCAAGAACACTGGTGTGGGTTGCCATGCTCTCCTCCAGGGGATCTTCCTGACCCAGAGATCAAACAGCGGATTTTTAACCACCTGAGCCACCAGGGAAGACTATATATATACACATATATATATATACACACATACACACACATATATATACACACATACACACATATATATACACACACACATATACACATATATATCTATGTTTTTTTTTAAATTCTTTTCCATTGTAGGTTATTATAGGATATAGAATATAGCTCTCTGAGCTGTATAGTAAAACTGCTGTTTATCTATTTCAGTTTTTGTTTATTCTGAACACAGGCTGTGCGGAGGCCCCCCGCTGCTGTGTGACCCACGAGGCTGAAGTGCGGCCCAGGTGGGGGACCAGCTTTACCTCGGACTCCACTCCCACACACATTGAGCATCTCACCACCCAGGCCTGTCTGCTCGGGGGCTGGAAGGTGCCCCCAGAGTTCAGGCAACTGTCAGAAGTCAAGGGTGAGGAACCCTGACTCTGGCCAGACTGACCCACACACCCTAAAGGCCACCTGAAGCTTCTGGTGCTGTTTGTTCTCACTCTTGTATCGATGTGCTCCTCGCGGTCCAGGGCCACAGAGTTAAGCTCTCCTGACTGGTGCTGAGGGCCCCGCTGCATCCTCTGAGGCGATGGCCTTGGTCAGCCCCTGGAGCCCTGCTCAGAACGCACGAGGCCGCTCTGAACCCCACAGCACCTGCAGGGTGCGGTGTAACAGGACAGCCTTAGGGGTTAGCGGGAGCATTTCCTCCTGGGGACCCTGAGAGTCCATCACCCCGGCTTGTGCCCTGGATGGGATGAGACGGCTCTAAGATCTGAGTTGCCAGGGAAGTGGTGACCTCAGTGCCGCTCACCCCCGTTTAGCAAGAAGCAGACTTTGCCCCCAGTGAGCTGCTATTAACAAACATCTCCACCTCGCTGCAAAGGCGAACCTGCTAGAGAAGGAGCCCACGAAAGATCTGAGCACGTAGAAGCAGAGGATTAAGGTGCTGGCTCCCTGCCCCGTGAGCTGGGGAGGCCCGCACTGCCCCCCTGAGCAGCCACTCAGCCACGTGCAGCTCCAAGCCTCTGAGAAGCAGCAGTGCAAACGGAGACGCGCTCCGGTGCAAAACCCCCAAATGCACAATACCCCGTGCAGAGTCGTTCACTTTGGATATACTGGGTTAAATAAGATATATTGGAACTAACTTCCCTTCTTTCTTTTTTCAGACACATGGCTGCTTGAAGGCAGTCCTGGCTTGCATTTTATTCCTCCTGGACAGGGCTGGTCCGGACTGAGTCCTAACAGCTCCTACCATCCAGTGGGTTGCCCCAGCCCCCACCCGCCCAGGAAGCCAGCTTTGGGCCGAGGCCGTGGCTCAGGGACTGCAGCGTGGACGGGAGGCTGCCTTGGGTCTGTCCCCAAAGGGGACGAGCGCAGGGTCTCTGGCACTGGGGGCACAGCACAGCCCAGGAGATGCCCGGTGCCCTGCGGACCCCAGAGGGGCTGCCCTGGCGACACGGTTCCCATCACAGGAAACTCAAGAGGGGAGAGGCAGGCTTGCAGGAAGGCTGGAGTCGGTGACCTGTCAGTGGCACATGGGAGGCAGAGGTGGGCCCCGGGTGTCTGTCATCGTGACCGTTACTATAGCCCCTCAAGCCACGTGTTCAGGGGCATTAGGATGTTGCCAATGGCTGCCTGTCTTGTAAACGGGGTATAAACAGCTTTTTACCAGCCTGGGCGCAAGACCAGGGAGGAAGGGGCTGGGGGGGCGGCGGGCAGCCCTGGTCTCCTAGGAGGCCACAGGCCAGCAGCAGCTGGAAGGATGTTGCTCCAGGAGCACTCACCCCTCTGTCCTGGGCCGGGGCCACACAACCTGCCCGAAGCGGACGGGGCTTCGTGGAATCGGGGGCAGCGTGTGCAGCTTCAGATGCGCTGAGAGCAGCAACAATCAGGACTTTCACCAAGGGCCAGGGTGTCCTCTCCGTCGGCACACGGAGCCCTCGCGAGACCCCGGCAATAGGCGCAGTCCATTTCAAAGATGAAGGAGGAGGTACAGAGAAGTTAAGTAGCTTAATTCAGCCTTAGGCTGAACAGCCAGTCAGGGGCAAAGGTGGGACTTGAACCCGGGGCGTCCGGCCTTGGCCCCCATGATCTGGACAACGGTGGTGGTGCCATCGTTACAGCCGATGAACCTGCAGCCATACCTCGTCATCCCCTGAGCCCAGGTTTACGTCAGGGCTCACTCTTGGCCTGGGGTCCTATGGGTTTTTGAAAATGTATCATGACGTGTGCCATGATTGTACATGAGAGTCTCTGCATCCTCAGACCCCTCTGTGCCCTGTCCCCACTCCCCGGACCACGACAATGACTAATCTTTTTCATGGTCTTCCTAGTTTTGCCTCTTCCAGACGCTTAGAGCTGAGCACACACTGTGAGCAGTGTTTTCAGGCTGGCTTCTTTCACTTAGTTGTATGTACCGAGGCTCTCCCAGGTTTTTTCAGGGCTTGAGGGCTCCTCTCTTTAGTGTTGAATAATACTCTACCACTCAGACGCGCCGCAGTTTATTTACTCGCTCACCTGCAGGAGGACGTCTCACCAGCATCCAGGGTTTGGTTGCTACAACTAAAGCTGCTGTAAGCACATGCGTGCGGGCTTTTGTGCAGACGTATGTTTTCAGTTCATCTGGGTAAACACTTAGAAGCAAGAAGGCAGGATCGTACGGTGAAGACTATGTTTAGCTTTGTAAGAAAATACCAAACTGTCTTCCACAGGGGCTGTGCTAATTCTGAAGGAGGCACACGTGAAATTCTAAATAAACTGCCAGACTTCTGATCTGGTGGGAAGACCCCGCCCCACATGCACACCTGGTGTGTCCGGTTCTGGAATGTGCTCCAGCAGGTTGTCAGTGGTCCTCGGATGAGGAGTCAGGAACACAGTTTCCCGGGGA